ATTACCCTCAATGGTCTTACACTTAACCTCTCAGCCCATAATGATCAAACACTGCCCGACAAGAGAGGACCTCTCCCTCGACTACAAGGAACAGTGTTGCATTCTCTGCTCACATGGATCCCGGGAATTAAAACCTTTTGCAAACATTTAGAAACTGTAATATATATACTTTTATATCTCATATAAAATATATTTTGCAAAACAAATCTCAACGATTGAAATCAGATGCCAGCAGTCTTGGTTTCCATCAGAGAGAGCGCATCCCCGATCATTACCTTTGTCCGACAAGGGGGCTGATCCTGTCACTATGATCACCCACTCAGATGAATTCTCAGACTATCCCAACATACACATGTTTTGAGCTCGCTAATGATCTCACTGATTGACATATCAAAGACAGCCCAATCCGACACCTAGTGCAATATCATAATCGAGTCTAGGTGTAACTTTCCAGTTTTTCCCATCAATATCCAAGGTCCAGGGAAATACTGAAAATCTGGTCCGGTTCAAAGATTCAATTAATCCTACACTGCTTGTGCCTTGGGTCTCACCTTGGCAGCTGAGACAGGTTACCCCAACATTTGGCAACACACCAGTGTCAGCCTTGGCAGGATAAATCTCCCCAGACTTATCCAACGGCTGTGAACATTCTAAACTAACACGAGTCTCATAAGTGTCCAGTTTAAGAGTATTACACAGAAACACACCACAAGAACATGAATCAAATATGTATTTTATTCATTTACAATAAATTCATAATGTACATCATTCTGATTGGATTTATGGGCATACAACTATCTAACAGAGACCGTAGATAAATTCCCCGGGATGGTGAAAATGGCAGACTAGAGATCTGAGTCTCCCCATCGTCATAGAGGAGGGACCGAAGGTGTCGGATTCTCTGCCCCGAGAGGTAGAAGCCACATTGCCGGAGGCTTCCAGAGCCTGCTCCCAAGCTTCCCCCGAGCTCGAGGGGGCGTCATCGTCCTGGTCACCGTCCCGAGGATAAACATGGTACGGATACCCAGACATGATTGATAGAACGAATGACTCATTGGAAAGATGAAACGGTGTCAACAGAAGAGCTCGGGCAAACTAGATGGATGCGCAACCTCAGAATCCGAAGATAGCAAATTAGCGTGAAAGAAAATGTGGCCTGGGGGCCCTCCTATTTATAGCCACTGTGCCCCTAGACCAACGGCCCAGATTGAGGCAGATATGACGGTTCACAGTCAAGCTGACCGCACGTCTTCTGAAACCGAAATATGACTGTCTGCACGTCTCCCATGATTGAGGTAATGACGACTGCACGACATCCAAAGTTAAGAGCTTTTTCGGCACATTTCTCGGAATTCGAAACGTTAGAAATCTCCTGACTTCTGCGCACGCATTTAATGCGAGCAGTCAATCAAGTTTGGACTTCGGTCAAATCCACTTGTCCCACTTCATGAACTCCTCACGCTAAGGTAGCACTCTTAGCCCGAGGAGTGGGGGGCAATTGATGGAGGATGATTTGACCCGACCCCTTGAGACAATGACACGTGGACCTGACTCGGCATGAGCAAACAACTCAGCACCGCAGTCTGACTGCGGCTAAGTAACGAGCATGCAGGACAACTTGCTACGTCATAGCTCGTTGTAGGGGGAGCTCGCTACAGCGCGAGCTCGAGCTCCCCCGAGCTACCGAAAGGGAATACTCCAAGACTGTCCCAACCCGCGAGCTAGGGTTACCAGCTCGCTCCAACACTTAGGCAGAAAGAATGCCCCAAAGGCAATCCCGATGAGGGTCACCTCAAAGTACCCCTGGGAGATCGCTACGAAATAGCTTGTGACAAGATAGCTCGCTGCATGACAGGGTAGCTCGCAACTAAGCAATGCGACGCTCTCAATGAAGCTTCTATTTGACAAGACCGTACCCGTCAGACTGCGTCACGTCTCTCAACTGACGGTGCAGTCCCTGTCCGTTCGGCAAACTGTACCCACGTCTCTTGACAGATGGTGGTGTGCTTGTCCTCCCGGGACATGTCACCCATCCAATTGGGTAGTACCCTGCAACGGTCACCTGCACAGTCCTGGCTGGTAACGACTGCGACAGAAGCCCAGTGGCGGTTACGTCCGATTTGACAAGTAAATAAGAGCTCCCTAGTTGAAGGGAAGCTCTCTCTCGAACATCAAAGATCCTATTTGAAACTTACTTGCTCTCGAGTTAATTTTGAGAATTTAGTGAGCCAGCGCGACCTACACTCTTAGCCTCTTTACACTCTTTGCTTTTTCTCCCAGCGTTCTAACTTAAGATTCAGAGTATTTCTGCCGGACAATCCCCCGAGAATCCTTCATCTTCTTCCTCTCAGGTGTCGTTCGTTGCCAGATAGGAGCCAGCCAACAGCCAGTTAGGAATACTTGGATCGTGCTGCATCACATATAATTTAATGTTTCATCAAATGTTTCTAATGTTATCTTATTTATATATAATTTTATATTCTGAATATATAGTGATATTTATATGATTTATTTGTATTTACTTATTAATTATTAAACATAATAATTGACTTGTTATAATTATATCAAATGAAATTACTAATTTTTTATCTCACATTTTTTAAGGACATAATTTTTGTTTTATCATTTTATTGAACTTACTTTCACAATTCCACTAGGAGGGCCCTATGCTAGTTTTAAAATATTATAAAAAACAAAATACAAAATATATCAAATCTTTGACGGTTTCTCGGGATCTGCTATTCATAAATATATCACCCATACTCATACATCACCACTACATGAATTAGTAACATGTCGATAAGGGAGCCTAATGCGCTGTTGTCATGTCTCATGTAGAGATGTTATGATGTGATAACATCTGTGGCCAACAGATTCGAGCTCTTTGACTTCAAGCTTTTAAAATGAGATTAGATGCATATTTATCTTTTTTTTTCTCAATTTTTTACAGAAGTTTGCATTTCAAATATTGGATGTACCATACTACCTTGCATGGCGACTGATCATGCCGTGACACGGATTGCTGATTGTTCTCCTTTTAATCTGTCATTTTCACACGTACAGATAGAATATCAGGACCTACTACTGAGTGGGTCCCCACTAAAAGGATAATTCTGTTCCCTTGTGGATCATTTCCTCTGAGTGAGACTGTGTCTGTTAGAATGTAAGAGGACAGCTCGTGTCACGACGACCAAAGCAGAAACAGAGTTTTACTTGTCGACGAACGCGAGCTTGCATGAAATGCATTTTCCGGTTTCCCTTAAAACGTGGCGCTTTCAACAGTGACGTCTGCCTCTCCTGTTCTCTCTCATTGCCATTATTGCTTTTTGTTTCCCTGGTTTTGTTTGCATCGGTAGGAGTTGAGAGACTTGTGAATCTAGTCAGGGAGTTCGCATTACTCCGTTTCTGTTCTTTCGAAGAACCTAATCTCGTGATTTATGTTTCGTGTGATCTCCGAGCTTTTGACTTGTTGAGACGAGCTCTTCTCTTGTTCTGAGAAGTGAGGGCTCTTCGTTGAATATACAAGTCAAATATCGTTTGGTAAAGATGATGCGGAATTCTTGATAAACTAGCTGGATACGCTTAAGTTGTAAGGAAAATGATGAAGGGTGATTTGGTACAACTTACTAGGAAGGGGATACGTAGACGTGATCTACTCGAGGAGTGACAATTCAGTCAAATGAACTTAGCCTGCAATATTTGGAGTTCGGATGTTCAACCACCTCGGTGTAGAGATATTTTGACACCCAATCTGGTTTGGGATTAAAGAATCGAAGTACCAGTTTGGAGCTAAAGAGTCGAAATGCCACGTAATTGACTTGAAAGGTCTCCTCAACGGACTTCGAATTTCTTAGATCATAATGAGACTTATCTTAATTCCGCCTGAATCGAAAGTAAATCATAAACCTTATCAACATATTGCTTTCCTTAAAAAACAGAATAGATCTTATTCGCACATCCCGAAGATTTCGGAGCTCTTTCGTAAGACACACGACTACTCCATTATATAAGGACATAAAACCTCAAAGCAAAGGTATGCACGATTATTTTACTCACTATCATTCAAACACTCAAATATTCAGCTCGCATCCACAATATAGTAGTGACTTAATCATCGGAACGACCTCGCTAAGTTGCAAATTAATCCATTTTGCCATACAACTAAAATTCATATAGTTTTTCATGTAAGAATATCTAGATCGTACACCACCGTAAAGGTTCCAACGTGATTTTCGAGCATTTTCCTCTCGCCGTAACAAGATATATGGAATAATCCATATCGTTTCTTTGCTCTCCTTTCGGTTAACTTTCCTCGTGTATTCAACTGGAAAAGTTAGCGTTTCCGTTTCAAGTATTGGAGGGGTAAAAATAACCATTGCATTTTCTTTTTTCCTTTTTTTTCCCGAGTAGCTGCTCATTTTCCAGCGAGTAACATATCTTCTTTCTCGGGAATCCTCGTAAACGACGTGAACTTCTTTCACCATTCACCTGAAGGAACGAAAAGAACAAGTTCCAATGTGGTTCTAAAGTTCCTTCGACGGAAATATTTGTCAACAAAGTATATTTTTCCTCTGAAGCCTCATTTCTTCCAGATGTAATTTGGAATTCTGTGAAAATATTTGCGTGTCTCATTTCCCGGGAAAGAAGGGAAGAAGCCCTTTAGACTCTTGTTCTTTTCTGGCGGGAAATTTGCAATCTGTAGTCGGCATTTTCCTTTTTTAGTTCCGCGACGAAATTCAAGCAAGAGGAAGAGCAGGTAAAACCAAATCGTACTAAATCCTCTTCCGTCATTAACGGGCACCTACTTGCTTTCATTTGTTTTCTAGTTTTCCAAATCTTGTTTTTCTGTAGAACTGTTGTATTTGTTAACAACTTCATTAAGAAGCAGGATTTTATTTTTTTTTGAGGCAAGGAAGAAGAAGCTGGAAGTAGGAAACTAGGAATAAGTAGCTAGAAGCGGAATTCCAGCACTTTTTTCTTGTCAATAGGGCCGTGAAATTTCTGTTTGTAGCTTGTACAGTTTGTTGGTTTCGTTACATTCCATTTTTGTTTCCTTTGCCGAAGAAAAATAGGGCAGAAGACGGAAGGAATAACAGCTACAGTACACAGAGAAGAGCAAAACACTATTGTATATATAGCTGTTTTTGTTATATAAATTGACGCCATTTTTCTATTGAATGGTGATCTAAAATCCTCGCGTACTTTGTAAGACTTCAATCCATTTTTCTATGCTTATTAGTCCTTGGGCAGCTCGTTTAGTTAGATTTTGTTTTATTATTATTACCCTTTTTCTTCTTTTTTACCCCCATACTCTCATTTTTGGAAATCAAAGAGACAGATGAGGTACAGAATCTGAGCCCTTTCTTACCTTGGATTACTTTCCGCCATCTTTCTCTTGGTTGTTTCGGTTTAGTTCTTAACACACAGAATCATGGGTCATCACAGGATTAACTTCTCTAATAATTTGTTGGATTTTCATCGCTAACTATTTGGTTTCCCAAATGCAATTTAAGCGTGGAGATCGGTTTTCCTTTCTCATATCAGTCCTTTTCTCTTCACTCTTCTTATTTTATTTTATTTTATTTTTTGAAATCACTTTTTGGGTATATAGGTTGGAAACCATTACATTTAAACGGGATGTTCTTATTTGTGAAATTCTAGGTTTACAGAAAATGGTTTATTTCATTAAGGTTTCTCCCTTTTTCATGTTTATAAGTTATACATTTCGTAGATGGGGTATAAGATTTGGTATGGGGATTTGCTTCAGAATTAGTCCTAGTTTTGTTAAATCTATTTCGTTATTTTGTTATTGTACACACAGGAGAAGAATCGGCTTCCTTTCATATTTGTTTGTGGTGCAAAAAAGCATTTATTTATTTATTTTCAGTAGCAATATCTTACTATAGGTTTTGTTTTTTCTCGCAAGACATTCTGTTATTTCAATCTTATAGTTAAAGTTGGAGTTACAACCTACAAATTGATTTTTTCCTATTTTTATTAGAGTGCTATCTGCTTTTTATGCCCTTTTCACAGGATGTATGAGATTGAATAGAACACTGCTTGTCTATGAAGACAGTTAAACCATGGAACTGGCTTTAAAGCAGAAATGTTTTGATGGGGTAAGAGTTGTGAATTTTAGCTAATTTTTTCTCCTTTCAGGCAAATTTATGTCGAAGCAAGTGTTGGATTTTAAATGATTTCTCCTCTTCTAAAATTCCACTTTAGTACCCTGAAATTTTGGGGGTTGTGTCAAGTTAGTATCCGAACTTTCAAAAACTGTCAATTTAGTCCCTACGGTTAATAGTCTATCAGTTATCTTATCACGTGATGAGATGTGCAATTTAATTTTTTTCAAAATGTCAAAAATACCATTAAAAACAAAACACTGTTCATGTCAGTCTCCCCGCCAGCGTCGGATTGTATATTCTGGGCCGTTTCTACTGCTGTTCCTGACAGTCTCCCCGCTGGTGCCATTACCAGCTGAGGCCTTCTCGGTGCGGCAATGGGAAACCCTAATCTCACTCTCCCACTCACTAATGAACCAAGTGTTGAACCTCTGAGCTTCGAGAGGAGATTACGAGGGGTCGATGAGAGTGAGAAGGATCGTTGAGAAGCTGGAAGGGGGAATGGGGGTAGGGTTGTGGAGAGGTATATGGTCGGAGATGGGGGTGCGGTTTCAGACATGGACGAACTGCTGAGGGGTCTGAATGAGTTGACTTGGATGGGATCAGACAAGGATAGGGCGGCCTGGGTTGCAGCCAACTATCAGAGTTTATTTAGGGTTTCCAAATTCCTCTCTCGCAGGTTCATCCAGGTGCTCTGTCAATTGGGTCCATTGAGGGAGATGGTGTTGACGGTACAGAGGGAGATGGAGGAAGGGGGATTGTTGAGGGGCTGCCTTGAACTGTGGGCCCATGACTTGAAAGGAGTGCTTCAGGTTGTAAGGATATGGCGTTACATTTCTCTTCCGATTCTGACCGGATTGATATCTGATTAGATGACTTCTTTTTTTATTATTATTTTTTTCTTCTTTTGTAAATGAGAGAATCAAGTTCTTTTTCTTCTTCATCTTTTCTTTTATTTCTTTTTGGACTTTTTTCTTTTGGATTTTGGACATTTTTAGAAATCAACTTTATTCACCAAAAAAAAGATGGAAGATTCTCTCTCTCATCCTCAAATTTGGAGGTGCCACCGTCAATGACGATATGGGACCCAATAATTGCAACTAAAAAATCACTGAGATGGAGGGGGTGGTTAGGGATCCGATGCGAACCAGAAGAAAATTAGATGATAGATGAAGGGCATTTTTGTCCTTTTATATGATACTTAATGTCGGTTAACGGTTTTGGACCAATTTGACAGTTTTGGAAAGTTTGGATACTGCAGTGACACGTTTGAAAGTTTAGGTACTAATTTGACACTACCCCAAAGTTCAGGGTACTAAAGTGGAATTTTCTCAATTTTTTATCAATCAATATTTCTCCCACCATGTGGAATTGATTGGTTTCTATTATTTCTAATTGCATGTTGGGGAGTGTAGGGAACGCATGGCTTTAAGATGAAACAACTGCCTTTTATGGGAATAGTCTGTGCAACTATGTTGTTCATTGTGTATAGAACCACAAATTATCAGTATCAGCATACAGAGGTACTTATGTATGATTGATTTGATCCTTTAAAAAATTTTTTTTAAGTGAGGACTAAGGAAATCTAGGGCTAGATAGATTGTAAGGTAGTTTATTTATTGTGCACTATGAAGTTATAATTTCCATATGACATTTCCTGTTTCAGTGTAGGGCATTTAGGTGGCATCAGTAAATCTGAATTTTAATCTTTGAAAAGGAAAAAAGTTTTGAGAACAATTCTGAGCCTTGATCTGTGAAAATTTGCTTCTTTGCTTTTTTGATCGCTGAATGTAGTGAAGCTAGACCTCCTGACAATTGTGTTGGGTTCAGGTTGGGTTAGCAAGGGCTATACCCTAACCCTAAATGCTTGGGTTAGGGTTGATCCAGGGGTCACCTTGGATCAACTATAAAATAAATGAAGTTTCAAAAAAAAAAGGGAAAAAACATGAAAAATGCCAAAATTAAAGGAACTAACAGAAGAAAAAAAAACAACCTTTTGAGAAGAAATGACTGTTTAGAAAGTTGCAAAAATTCAAAAGAAAGAAGCAGAAATCAGAGTTCAAGAGGAGAGAAGAAGAAGAAGAAGGTGGTGGCAACTTGGGTTCAGAGAGATAGATTTTCGAACATAATTTCTTCTCTTACTCCCTTAATTCTATTTCATTAAGTTAAACTTTAGTAATTTACAGAGAAGCCCCTAGTTGGGTAGAAAATTAAAAGGACATAACATAAGGAATAATAAAGCCTAGATTAAGGCCCATTATAGCAAAGAACATAAAAGATAAAAAACGATAAACAGCCTATGGGCCATTTGGCCCATCTTCTCTACACTCCCGCTCAAGTTGAGCATAGATGTCAATCATGCCAAACTTGCTAGTATCATTCTGAAGTTTAGCCTTGGGAATGCCCTTGGTGAGGAAATCAGCTAACTGGCCTTCAGAGGTGATGAAAGGTAGACATACTTCTCCAGAAGCAACTCTTTCTCGAATGAAGTGTCTGTTAACTTTAATATGCTTAGTTCTATCATGTTGCACTAGGTTGTGAGCAATGTTGATGGCGGCCTGATTATCACAGTATAACATCATTGGCTTATCATGCTTAATACCCAGTTTCTACATCAAGGATCTAAGCCACAATAGTTTAGAGACTCCATGAGCCATGGCTCTGTATTCTGCTTCGGCTGAAGATCAAGCAACAACTGATTGTTTCTTGCTTTTCCAAGAGACAATATTATCTGCCACCAAGCTACAGTACCCAGAGGTAGATCTTCTGTCATCAATGTTTCCGGCCCAGTTAGCATTTGTGTAGGCTTCAAGTTTCATATGGCCACGTTTAGCAAATAGAATTCCCTTTCCAGGGGAGCCCTTCAAATAACATAGAATCCGCTCTGCTGCTGCCATGTGAGTATCCCTGGGAGCATGCATGAACTGACTGATGCAACTAACAACATATGCAATGTCTGACCGAGTCATGCATAGATAAAGAAGTTTTCCAAGTAGTATTTGAAAGACTCCCTTATCTTCTAAATATTCCATCTGAAGTAGAGAGTTTATGGCTCATATCGATAGGAGTAGCAATTGGTCTGACACCCATCTTCCTTGTTTCAGAGAGCAAATCAAGAACATACTTTCTCTGAGAGATAAGAATCCCATCCTTGGATTTAGCAACTTCTACGCCAAGAAATTATCTCAATTCCCCCAGATCTTTGATCTCAAACTCTGTATGAAGGAAAGATTTGAGATMATTAATCCYTGAKACATCATTACCAGTCACAACAATATCATCAACATACACAGTCAGGTAAATGGCTAAGGATCCTCTCCTCTTCACAAAGAGGGTATGATCAGACTGTGTCTGTACATAGCCAAAACTAACAAGGGCAGACCTAAACCTTTCAAACCATGCTCTAGGGGGCTGTTTGAGTCCATAAAGAAATTTCTTCAGCTTGCAGACATTTCCTTTCATATCTATTTCATACATCCCTGGAGGAAGAGACATATAGACCTCCTCATGTAACTATCCATTCAGAAATGCATTCTTTACATCTAGTTAATAAAGTGGCCAGTTTGAGTGTGCAGCCAAAGATAGCAGAACTCTCACAGAAGTCATCTTGGCAACAGGGGCAAAGGTCTCCAAATAATCAATCCCATATGTTTGTGTATAGCCTTTTGCAACTAGCCTAGCCTTGTACCTTTCAATGGTGCCATCAACATGATATTTGATAGTAAAAACCCACTTATAGCCTACTGGATCATTCTCTTCAAGCAAATCAACTACTTCCCAAGTGTCATTCTTGTGCAGGGCATCAATTTCTATTATCATAACATCCCTCCATTCTGGAATAGTAAGAGTTTCTGACACAGACCTGAGAACTGGGTTAGAAGCAACAGAAGAAAGGTAGGCAAAATATGAAGGAGAGAGCAAACTATAAGAAAGGTGTTTGGAAATGCAATGTGCAGTACACTTCCTTTTTCCTTTCCTAATAGCAATGGGGATATCAAGGTCTGGGAAGGATGGCTCCAA